TCACTTTATTTAACACTTTGACAGGCCAACTACAACGACAAAAAAATCATAACAGGTAAGTAATTATGCATTAATAGTTCTATAGCGCGTTTTAATTTCCGAGCAGCGCCATCTATTGGTGGTTTGCGGAAACAATTGTGGAATTCAGTCAAAATCATTATTACGAACTAAACAGTCAGAGTAATCATAAGCTTATAATACGGAATACTTTATCATTTGTTGCTATATGCTCGAACAAAATTTGACGAGTTAATACTCAACGAAATATTAACATTGGGTTTTTATTGCCGCATTGTACAAAGAGATATTATACTTTTTTATAATATTTAGGCGTTAAAACAGTGGAACCCCACGGCTAAACTATTAATACAATTTTATTATCATAGTAATGAAATTAAAATAAAGCAACGTGTTGTTATTTTTTTTTATATCAGGTGGCAAACGAGCGAACGGCCACCTGAAATCGCTGAAATAGCGAAGTGACCGTTGCCCATAGACATACGCAATTGCATATGCGTTGCCTACCTTTAATCGACGGAGAAGAGGATGCACAGAAAGAAAACATTTTCCCCTTCCATGCATCCTCTCATCCGGAAAGTCCACTTCCACGTCCCATCCTTTCCTTATGAGAAATAGGGTGGAAAGGGAAAGAGGACTAAATTAGGCCTCCGAGACGCGCACTCATCAGACGAAACGCGGAATTGCTTCCACTTGACGCCTATCTTCTGTGTGGTCGTGGTATTTCACCGGGCAGGCCGGGGCACTTCAATGATGATAACAAGATGTTAAAGCGGGCTCTACCACTGTTAAAATACTGTTACTTAATATAATTATTCAAAGAAATGTATGAATGATAAGAGGATATCAAAATAATAATAATAAAAACAAGCTACGTATGATTATTTTATCATTAAATATATAATGATTGTTATGAAATGCTTGTTATCAGCATTTTCAATGTACTTAGTGTACATTCAAAAGTACATATGTATGAGTACACGCCTATTACTTTCCTTTAAAATTAAACATTTATTTCGAAGGAATAAAATATAAACTAATGAAGAAGGAAAAGTATACTCAAGTCTTTTAATCTTTCTAGAGACTATCACTAAACAAATAAAATAAAAACATATTAGTTATATTCAGTAACGGTTTCTAAAGTTATGTGGAGACTGCGTAATTCGCAGACCTGGGCCCTTTTTGTTCAGCGCCCTGGGCAGTTGAGCCCTAACCTAACGCCGGCCCTGGATCATTATTTAGAGTAGAATGACAAATACATCGTTAATTAATTTCGGCTGTTTATCTTTGTCGATTTAATGCAACAGAGACAATATTTTTTAGTAAAATTAAATGATGATGTATCGGTGAGTAATTGAAGCCTGAAAAATAATTCAATTGTCGGTTGCTAATCTTATCGTATTGCCATGACCTTTACTTAACAATGATATTTATTTTTTTATCTAGGTAATGAAAGATAATCATATTAAAACAGAACATCCTGCCAATATTCATCCACGATATTTTGCAGGCATAAATGTAGATGTTATCGTCAGTTTCCTTACATGTAATTGTGTAAAAGTGTGAGGGAACTTGAGTAGGGCCAAGACTATAAATTATCTTTTATCAAACGTTAAATTTTTACTATCTATGGCATTAACATTACGAACATACAAACCTAAAAACGAGCAAATAAAAGATAAAAAGCTTTACTTGTCTCTTTCATGGCCAGCTCATCATCTGTGAGCATGGTGAGAGGCCGTGGGGGCGCTGGGGTGCTGTAGTTCTTCTGTGGCATCATGGCGACAGCGGCCGGTGCCCGCCATTGTTCCAAGACCTAAAATGCGGAAAAAATGACCATAAAAATGATAAAAAAAGTCATAATGCCAGTATTAAAAAAAAAGATTGACATAAAATTGGTAAGGTTTAGTAATTTGGTAAAATAAAATAAATCATAACCTAATATTTATGGATTTTAATATGTAAATTAAAATTTGACCTAAGCTTCATACCACATTTTCAATAACTACAGAAGTTATTAAACATTATTTGTGATAGTCATAATGAAGTTAAACCAAAATATATTTACAAGAAAAGGAGTGGAATAAATTGCCGGTTGTATCTCCGTCCATAAAACATTAGGGTCTTCAAGATCCTTCAAAGCACATGGCCACTGTTTAGTGGGATAGAGACCAAGCGTTACTTATTCATTTTAAAACAGATGCTAGACTTAACTTTAAGTATATTCTACGACCATTATACGAACAATATTTAGCGTACCTATATTTTCAACCTCAATTACCGTTCAATTAGAATTCCATTCAGGATCTCCACATTTAGTACGCAGGACAAAACAACACAAGGTTTACACATATAGGTATATGTTTATATTTCAAACCAAATACGTTTCTGTTTAATCTAGAATGTAATACAAACAGTAGATTCAAGGCTTCAGCGTTGAATCCACGTCAACAATTATAACCCGTTTAAAAACATGTTTAAATAACTGATAACAGAAAATTAGAAACAAACTTTAAATTTCTATTATAGTGTCTTCTTTGATTATCTTATTATTTCATACTTAAATCATATTTCTAATTAAAATCATCAGCGAAGTCCACCGGTCCACTACAAAAACATGTTTTATTCATGGTCATTTGCCGGTTGAGCCCAAGAATTTTTTTATGCAAGATATTTCTTTTTAATTTTATGATGTTCCAAAAGTTTATGGCAACATGATAACGAATATTATAATGGACCTATATATCGATCAGTTGACAATTACAATAAGATAAAAACTAGAACGTAACCTAAAATAGTTGTATATAAACTACACATGTGTTTTTTATTTATTTATAATCACAAAAAATGTACAAAAAAAAACTTGTAACAAGAACGCACCTTGTTGCCAATTCGTCGCAGAGGGAACATATTTGATTACTTTTTTTTTGCAATGGCGCGCAAACCGGGCACAAGCTTCGCGTCTGCGCGATGCGGACCCGATTTTAAACTGACATTACGTCAGTTAATCGAAGTAGAAGGTCTGGTTTTAATGGTATCTCGCTCGCACTTGCGATAACGTGTTTTGTGAATAAAATGAATAATATTAATTACAAAGTGATTAGAACTCACGTATGAACTATCTTGTGGGATCATAAGGAGTAATTAAAACTATTTAATGTTACGTCAGCCAGCGTTAACGATATATCACTGTCATAAAACCACGTATTTTCTAAAGGTACTGAAAAATGGAAACCCAAAATAATATTACACGTACATCTTAATACTAATTATATATTAACTACTATTTATATATTTAGATAACGTAACATATTTACGTTACCAGCTTGTTCTAACATTTCTAATTATTCTTTTTGTCATTTTTTAAATCTAGTCAGCGCGTAATATGTTTAATTTTAAGTTAAATATGACACGAGAAACAGCCTGCCGTAATAGTGGCGGGGTACCTACTTAAATAGGTGCAATTGCGGTCAAGTATCACATTTCAAAGCACGCAATGTTGCAAGTTCGATAAAGACCAATTCATGATGGTATAGAATGTACCTCAAAAAACTTATTTAACGTTGAAATACTAGCTAAAATAATAAAGATCATTCATTCAATTCAGTCAAATCATTTATGTTGTAGAACACAATAGTATTTATTATATAAATATACAAACATCTTGGTTCTAATAGCTATGAATGCTCATACCTATAAACGTGTTATAATGTAGACCAAAGAGTATATAAAATGTAGACGAGATTCGAAATCAATAACGGTTTAGTTAAAGTTATAGTTTGGTTTAGTTTTAGTATAATATATAGTTTATTTAATATAGTATTAATTAATTCATTTGTTTTATAAGTAGTGGTTAGTTATTAAGTAAGATTATGTTTTAATTATTAAACGTCTAGTATTAGTTAAGAACGTAATAGAAGACTATTAAATAAAAATATAATTATTTGTTTTATTTTAATTATTTTCAATTGATTTAAAATGCTGGACACAACAAAGTGTAATATTCAACTTTTATTTGGGTCCAATAACGGGTTGAAAACAATTTGATTTTAAATTCTATCTTTAACTTATAACAATATTAATAAACTCCTGTCACAAGCATTATGAGGCATTTTAGCACTTTAGGATAAACTCTCAAATTGAATGTATACACGGCAGCAATCAAAGAATTTATCTCGTGAAAACCAATTCATTCGACATTGAATTATATTGAGAAGTCCCCTATACAATAAAAGTTTCCATTGGTATTGAAACAAAATTTTTATTGATAATTTTAGTGATGAATATTAGTATATCGTATTTATTTACAAAACCTTTTTAGTAACCAACTAAAATAAATTGTTTGTATACTAATCCAATCGATATATTCAAAAAACGCGCGTTCCAAAAGCACAATCATATGAGTAAATTCACAAAGTTTATGGTTATACCCACCAGATGGCGTTGTTTCAAAACTACAAGAAAAATTCTCAGTCACTTTTGAAAATTAACAACTTTTATGTATTGCTAACGATTATTAAATATAACAGAATAGTAAAAATATTAAAACAAAGTTTTTAACTGATTTTTCAAATTTAAATACGATTCAGCGTAAAATGAATCATTCATAAATTGACAATGACGTCCGGAAATTAAGATTCACGGTGATTCGATTGGCAACTTCTAGAAACTTACAGAAAATATTAATGTTGCTAGATTTACAGGTTTTGCAAGAATTTGAGCAAATTAAAAAACACATTTCCAGCTTTGGTAAGTCACAAATCTTACTATTTAAATTAACAACGACTAGTTTAGAATTCCTTACTAAATAAAACGAGTTTCAGTTTAAAACGAAATACTAAAATTAAAAAATGACGTGTTTCAAATACACCGTAAGTGATTTAAAATCTAGAGTTAAAGGTAACTTAGGGAAATGAATTACTCTTTTCTTTTGGCGTGAAATAATTTTACGCTGACTGGAAATACAAATCATGTTAAATTGGTAACATTCTCAGTCTTGTCAGTATTACCGTTGCAGAGTGAACTGGTGTGGTTGCGCGACGTTTCTCGAAATTAAAGATTTTCTGCGATAGAATTTGAAAATCAAAGCATCAAGAAATACTTCTCTTGGTATTGTCAACATAAAAGTGTGACGGTTGTGTGAACAAAACCTATTACTGCCAATATTAGTCTAGATTGTCACCAGTTGGTCAAGTTACCTTGGAATATCCGATATAAAACAGTATTTAGCTGGCCTCGTGCTTAGAAAATGGCCAAATGGGGCGAAGGAGATCCACGCTGGATTGTGGAAGAACGACCTGACGCTACTAATGTCAATAATTGGCACTGGACGGAAAAAAATGCCGGTCCGTGGTCCAAGGACCGTCTAAAAGAATTATTGAATAATTTAATAATAGCTCAGAATGGTATAGATTGTAAGGTGACTGAGGTTGAAAAGGTTGATGGTGAAGCTTCTGCGAATAATAGGAAAGGAAAATTAATATTTTTCTACGAGTGGGACATTAAACTGAAGTGGGAAGGTCGTCTGGCCGGCGCTAGTGAACTGGTCAAAGGCGAGGTGCACATCCCCAACCTTTCGGAGGAGAATGATGTCAGTGAGGTGGATGTAAGTATAACAATTTTTTTACTTTCGTTTGATTTATAAAACAAAATGTCTAACCTAAAAATTTGTTAAGAACTGAAACATTCCAAATTTTTAATTCTTCATCTCATCACCTAATGTATTTACAAAGTAAATTAGTCAAAAAGTCTATTTAATAATTAAAAGTTTATAGTAAGTACGAAATTCATGTTCATACATGCTCATACAATTTCATTATTGGCTAAAATATAAATACTTCTATCATCAACAATACCTTTATATTGTTACTAATATGGTGTTTTGTATGACATCACTGCATTATTAAAGATTAACTATTGTTTGAATGAAATGTCTTCATTCTAATTACATTCGAACCTATAGCAAAGCAATATTTATCTTGCTTGTAGATGTTTCTCTTTTACATGAGTTACTTGCAAATGTAGTTCAACCATCAGGAACTTTGAAACATTGTTTGATGGAAATATTTAGGCTTTTCATTATATCTTTCTAATATTATAAATGCAAATGTTTAGATGAATGAATGGATGTTTGTTTGAAGGTATCTCTGGAAGAGCTGAACAGATAGTCTGGAAAATACACAGGCTACCAATTAAGTTTTTTTTTAATTCCGCATGGACTAGTAAGAAATTAAAATATAAAGTTTGTTTCAATTTATGCACTGCTTAGCTATTGTGCTTGAGTCAAATAATAATCTATGTAAATTCTATATTGCAGATGACGGTAACAATCAAGGGTAGCGGTGAAGAAGCCCAGAGGGTTAAATCTTTCATGCACAACTTTGGAAAAGATGAAATCCGTAAACAACTCAAGGAATATATAAGAAGTTTGAAGGAAGAGTTCTCTAAAGGTCTAATCCTACCTAAGAAAGGAGAAACATCAGTCAAACCGGACAGTGTGTCAACCATCACAAGTGGTTTTAATAAGAAAATAAACATGGAACCTGTAATTTCTACAGAGAAAAAGCAAATAGGTTGTAAACTGGACACTAAAACTATTGAATTAACGGAAACTTTCCAATGCCGTGCCGAAGAGTTTTATAATGCAATGACAAGGATAGAAATGGTGACCGCCTTCACTCAGGGTCATGTGAAAATGGATCCAGAGAAAGGAGGCAAGTTTGCATTATTTGGTGGAAATGTGACAGGAGAATTTAAAGAGTTGGTCCCTGGGAAGAAAATTGTCCAGTATTGGAGATATAAACAATGGCCAGAACAACATTTCTCTGAAGTTACATTTACTATCGATGAAAAGGTATGATGTAACTTTTTTTTTCCATTTTCATTCTTAAAATTTGCTTGGGCCAGCATTAATTACAGCCTAGGGCCCTTAACTTGGGGTAGTCTCCGAGCCCCTCCGTGGGGACATAGTGAGATGATGATGATGTTAATTTAATCAAGAAATGAAATTGAAGATTATCAAAAATAGTTTTTATTTGAATTTTTAATGTAAAAAATATATAGTTCGTCCAAATTAGATGTAAATTTCTAATGGTGAAAATTATATTTCAAATTTTAAAGTTATTGACCACAAAACAGGTTGTGGGTTATCTACCAATGTTCTGTGGCTTTTTACTGCGGAAATAACTTAAGCATATGTTATCTTATACCTATACTTCTGCATTAACTTTTAAACAGTAAAGTTTAGATTGTTTTCATTGAATAGTCTCCAAAAATACTGAACAAATTAGAAAGATTCTTTTACTCTTGCGAAGCTATTTTACTTAGATGAAATTAACTATGTTTATTACTAGATTTATTTTTTATTCCGCACAGACGAAGCCACAGGAGACTGCTAGTGTTATATATATTTCAATACTCATTCTTTTATCTATTAGTTAGTATAGTTATTACTACTAATGTTAGTAATTGTGCTTACAAAATTGGTTGTTTCAGGATGACCACACTCTGGTGACATTGAAGCAGGAACTGGTCCCGGCTGCGGAAGTTGAGCAGACGGAGGAGAACTGGAAGCGTTACTACTTTAACAGTATCAAGAGAGCGTTCGGCTTCGGCGCATTCCTCTGATCTTTGCACCAAGGTTAGAAAAATTAGGTTAGTATTTCCAATAACTGGGAGACAATGACTGTTGTCATTTTGTATGCATAACGTTCTCACTAGTGGAAATAAGGCTTAATGCAAATGGTTATGTGCTTTGTGGAATTAGGCATTAAGAGTCTATAACTGTGTAGGAATTTCTCATTGTTTTACCAAAGTGTGTGGAATGTTGTAAAATTTTATATTTGAAAAAAAAATGCTTTTTATAACTAATTTTTATCAGCGATTTCGTCTATGCGGAGTTAAAACAGAAACTTTAGTATCGTATGCGTTCTTCCAGACTATGTTTTACACGTGTGCTTATCATTGAAATCTGCTTAACCATTTTGGATACTTAATAACAAATTTCCATACATCCATACATCCAAACTTTTGCATTTATAATATTAGTAAGAAGTAAGATTTCTGTATTATTAAACGGAAAAGATATTGATGTACTTTTTACCATAAGCCATTATAAAATTTATATATAATACATATTTTTTTTCTTTTTCAGATCCAATTATATCAAGGAATATCCAATGAAATGAGCGTTGTCTGCTTAAGCCCCCTTTAAGTTAAACCTCACTTGATCCAATGCATTGTGCAGCATTCTCAGTTTCAAACAGCTCCGGACAATGTGTCTTGCTTGTTTTTTTTTATTTAATTAGCTTGATGTAAGCAAGTGATTAGTTGATTGTACCACTAATAAATTATGTTAGGTATTTGTTATGTGTTTTTTTTTTTCATTCTCTAATAAAAACACACAGAAGACAGGCGTAGAAGCAATTCCGCGTTTCGTCGGATGAGTGTGTGTCCCGGAGGCCTAATTTAGTCCTCTTTCCCTTCCCAGCCTTTTTCTTATAAGGAAAGGATGGATAGTAGAATTGGACTTTCCGGATGAGAGGATGCATATGCGAGGATGGAGGGAATATATTTTCTTTCTCTGCATCCTCTCCTCCGTCGATTAAAGGTAGGCATGACATGCGTTTGCATATGTCCATGGGTAACGGTCACTTCGCTGTTTCAGCGATTTCAGCTCGCTCGTTTGCAACCTTATGATATAAAAAAAACAATAAATACTTTTGAGTCTGTCGCACTCAAGTTAAACTGCCTCTCATACTTAGTAAATATTAAGAAATCGTTAATAAATACTAATGGAGGTGATACCTGAATTATGCTCTTAAGATTGATTTTATTACGAAAAAAACTACTAAGCTAAAAACCTTAATAATTAGCCTATGTGTTCTTCCTGACTATGTTCTACATCTGTGTCAAATTTCAGCGTGATCCATGCAGCTGTTCTGGAGATACCTTATAACAAACATCCATCCATCCAAGCAATCAAAACTATCGCATTTATAATATTAAGACTAATTAACATTTATTGATAATAAGGGTTATTTATGTTCGTGAGCTTGAATTTATTATGAAAATTATTTCTATACGACTATTTATATTTGACCCGAACTCGCCATTGAAACGAAAATAGTCTACTTATAATAGTACTGCTTGAAATATATTGCGTATATCCTACTAATATTATAAATGCGAAAGTTTTGATGGATGGATGTTTGTTTGAAGATTTTTTTTTTATATCAAAAGGTGGCAAACGAGCGAAGCACAAAAAGAAAATATCTTCCCTTTCCATACATCCTCTCATCCGGAAAATCCACTTCCACTTACCATCCTTATAAAGAAAAGGATGGGAAGGGAAAGAGGACTAAATTAGGCCTCCGGGACGCACACTCATCAGACTGTACGCGGAATAGCTTCCACTTGAGGCGTGTCTTCTGTGTGGTCGTGGTATTTCACCGGGCGGGCCGGGACAATTCGTGCGAAGATGTAAAAGCGGGCTCTACCACTGTTAAAATATCTCTAGAACGGCTGCATGGATCACGCTGAAATTTAACACAGATGTAGAACATAGTCTGGAAGAACACATAGGTTACTAATTATGTTTTTTTTTAATTCGGTACGGGCCGCCGTTAGTAATGTTTATAAAGATCCAAATTAAGACATAAGATGTTTCCACCGACGAAAAATTGCTTACATTCTAGTTCTCTTTGAAAAACAAATATTTTGAACTCGATGAAAAACTCATTTTTACTATGTCATGATGATTTTACTATTAATAGTCAGACAAAACTATACTAAATTAAGTTTTATCAGCATTTGGTTATTTGACTTTATCATTAAAGGGTTAACCACTATGATGATAAAAATAATATTTAATTTTTATGTTGTGTTAAATTAAATTCATGAATTATTTCCTACACATCATAAATAACTGCAAAACTAACATCCAAACGAAAAGAATATTATATTTATTTATAATTATAAAGAGGGAGCCCTTAACACTACTACTAGAGGTATAATAAGAATCAAACGTTATGGCGGTTCCGAATTTTGTTCACTCGCCCATTGTAAATACAACTGATACGTTGTTCATGGTATAGTCGAGCTGCATTAGCTACTGCAGCGGACAGAAGCACGCTGCATTACATCCAAAGGTAGAATTTGACAGTAGTCATTTCGTAATTATACCGAAATAACAATCTTTAGTAAAAGGTCGGTAACAAGCATCATGATTGAGTGACTCTGTATATTCGTTATTGTGTGTTTATTATTAATATTCGATATCCATGCGAGTTAATTTAAAAAGTTATCAGTGCCCTGCTGACCTGCAGAGCGCGAGGCCGTCTTTATCTCACAAGACAGTTGACAGTCGATCTTCTGTTCGCAAACATGCGCATTTTGCTCATCTGCGCTTTGTTTCAATATGTAAGTATAAATATATATTTTTAATTGTACTAAAATGTTATAGTCCTCAAATTTAAATCAACAATAACTTACTTATCGATATTTGTGTCGATTGCTTTTTAATAATTTTGAAATTAAAAAGTTCATAGTTCATGTCTTGTTTATTGTCGTTTTCTTCGATATGTTTATTACAAAATTCTGTACTGTATTCCTGTGTCAATCTCTCCAGGTATTTATTTTATTTTTTAAATCTTTTTTTTTTATTCAAAACAAATACACATAATTCCTAGTGTTTCCATCAGTTTGATTACTGGGTGATCTAAACCGATTAATTTCAATTGAACCAATAGACTAAATCAGGATATTTTTTTTAATTTTCGATAGAGATATCAGTTCGACAGTTCAAGTATCAAAGTTCATACTTTATTGTTTAATGGTTCCATACAAATGATACGATTTGTTACAATGCAAAGATAATAAACAATAGGAATGAGCTCAAGGGACTCGGTATCTTAATTAACTTATCGCATTATGTTGCAAAACTTAACAATATTAAGTGAAAACAACGTCACATAATACGTATTGTTTTTATTAAATCTAAGCTTTTGTTTCTCTTGTCTATATGAAAGTTTTGAAATTTAATTTTCAGGCATTCGCACAAGTTGGTTTTGGAACATCCTATTTAAGAAATTCGCGTTTGGTATGTACTTTAATTATAATTTCTCTATTACTTAAATTTAGTTGCTCGCAGTCGTACAAAATGCGAGCCGCGTTAAAGTTTGGATAACACTGTACGTTCATCGACATTTGTTTCCTACACATTTTGGCGAAATTATATTAGATGCTAAAATGCAATCAGCAAAACTTCATAGCAACATACGTACGTTACGAACGTTAGCGAATTTAATTCTTTGACTGTACTTTACTACAATCCTTTTTTCAGTGTCACCAATGGAACTGTATAAACGAGAAGTTAGGTCTTACAGACACTTTACCTCCTAGAGAGCAGTTTACCAATATTCTAGACAATCTATTGCCTGCAGAATGGCACGACGCAGGTCTAGAGGCACTAGACACGTGCTATAGCAACCGGACAAGGAGGTACACGAACACGTGCCCCGGACAAGCACTAATGCATTGTGTTGTCGATAATCTTATGGCGGTAAATATTTTATTCAATTTAATTAGGGAATATTTAAAATTTTTAGGGTTCCGTACCTCGAAAGAAAAAAAATTGAACCCTTATTCACTTTGTTGTCCGTCCGTCTGTCAAGCCCTTTTTCTCAGAACCGCGTGATGGTATCAAGCTGGAATTTATTTTTGTTTAAACCCCATTAAATATTTAATTAATTTAGATCAACTTATTGCTATTTTTTTCAACTTGTAAACCCTTAACTTTATCACCCACTCACTTCACTCACTTTGGGAAACATATCAAGTAATTTTTTTTGATAGATGACGTATTTCATGTTGTCAGAATTGTCCCGGTGACAAATGGACCAAAGAAGATGGGTGTAACCCGGTGTCCGCTTTAGCTGGAAGTAAATATATGTTTTCTCAAAGGTAAACATTTATTTACCTTATTTATTATTTTTATGTAAGTTGTTAATAAGAATGTCTTTTTTAATTGTTCTTATTTTTTTTTAGTCGTTATGTAAATCTACAACAGAATATACAAAAAGAACGCCGTCCGAAATGGTTCTTAGAGCATGTAAGTACGTTTTAATATTTTTTAGTCTGTATAGACTGGAAGACAAAATAACTAATAACATGACTAGCTATTATTCTACTGACAAAAACTGTTACGTTATTAAAGTATAATTGTTAACGGTTAACGAAAACTAAGGTCACTAACGCGCCCCGAGTTTGAAGTTTGTTAGGCGATGGCTCGTACGGAGACTATCATAAGTCACAATTTTGCGATTTACCCCGCGATTTTGCGTTTTTCATATTTTATGAATTTACTTGATAAATATTAATTTCTGTATTGTAAAAGTAACGTTAGAAAGAAGAATAATTGTAGATTTTTATTAACTATTGCATATTTATGTTAGATGCTTCGTAATTTAATATTTAAATTTTTGTCTTGCAAAATTGGATTTTAAACATGGATAGTTTACGAAGGAGTCATTGAGATGTTTATTTGTTTTCAGTACTTCAGCACGAAATGCTGCGATTTACCGCAGCTGTTCAACTCCACAGTACTGACTGAATGCGGCTTTGACACTTTCCTGCTCTACCACTTGCACGATCCACAAATTGACGCGCATTTGCCATCAGAACACATCGTAAGTAAAAATACAAGTAATAGTATAATTATACAAGTACAAGTTTATATGCCGCGTTCAATTGACGACTATAAGTACGAATCTACATTAAGTGCGACAATTTAGTAACATTGTATAGTGTTCAAAATTCTCAATAAGTATTAAGAGCACCGACATGCATATATGCGTAGATGTATGAATGTAGAGGTAAGAGAAGTGTAAATGTAAACAAATGAAGGTCCATGATCTCTCTACCCTTCTCCCTAATTATCTTGTTGAAGTGTAATATGATTATTTTCAGAGACCATTATCATCGAATCATCTCCGTGCATCTATATCTCACTTTATCCCGGTACGATCACATAAGCCGGCAGACACAGCCACCACAGATTTCGGTGGAATAGAGGAAAATGAAGTAAGTTATATTTTTCTGATACGTAAAAAACTATCTAGCATTATTAAAGCTTTTTTATAGTAAGGCAATAACTAAACCTGGTGGCGAGTGGATTGAATCACATTCAATCCACTCGCCACCAGGTTATCACTAACAGCGTCACACTTTGGGGCAAAATAGGGTTGTTGTACTTGTCAAGTATTTATACAGCTTTCTTGTGAATCTTTATATCCGATTTTATCTGATCACGGCGTTTTTAAAAGAAAATCAAATTCACCAAAACACTTGTTTAGATAAAATTGATTTGTTCGATTACCATTTCATTTCTTTCGTAACTTGTGATATTAACAGAAAAATAACATTTGCAGGCGGTCAATGATCCTCTTGACTGCTGTGATATGACAGACTTTATACTACCGGAGTGGCGCGAGGAATGTGCCTTCCAGTTGTCCTGGCACCGCCATGACAGGCTGGTCATCAATGAGGCGCGGCAACCTGTCACCGACCCTCCTGTCATCACAGAGACCAATGAACCTAAAGTGACAGACGTCAAGATTGTACCTCATTCGGTAAGTAGGAAATACTTCTTAAGTCCTGATTAACGTATTAATAATTTTCTTAAGTAATACGGCATATATTTCAAAATTGTAATGGAGTTCAATAACCTTTTAGCTTAACATCTTGTCCTAATTTCATAGTATAATCGAACCTGGTTGGGAGAAAAGCCTTTATAAGCAAAATTAAATCCCTTGTACTCTCTTTTACCTAGATTTGACTGTAATTGATTTTAATTAAATTCAAGGTAAATTTCCTTGGCTTCATAAGAAATAAACCACCTCAACTGGACGTATATATATGCCTGTCTTTCTGTTATATAGTGCGAGATAGAGACGTGTATATTCAGCAAGCTAGGTGTAGTATCATCAGGCGTGGTGGACACGCTCGCTCTCTCGCGGCTGTTAAACAACATAACTGGAGATGGTCACTGGGTGAGGGCGAAGGCGCGCGCGGACTCCCACTGTCTGACCAAACTAGCCACGTACGAAGCGGACTGTGAGATCAATAAAGTGCTCGCTTGTGTACTGGATGTACTTACTGAGGTATAGAACAGTATTCCGATGGTTTCTACGTAGAGTATCATATGTTTGAAATGCAAATTTTGCATGACAAAACTTTAAATATTAATACGATTATAACGCTTCAAACATGAACATTCATTGGACAATCAAAATCTACATTTTTTCTAATTCTTTACACAGTAATTTATAGTATCAAGTTAATTAAAAATAATTAAATATTAAATTGCAAAATTGTGACTTACGATAGTCTACGTAGGAGCCATAGAGTTATTTATTTTAATTGTTTAACAGCCGAACCAACAACAAACATGTTGTCCCTTTCTGTTTTCATATAGAAAGAGAGGGTTATAGAGTGCTATGTTTCATTGTAAATGAACAATAGTTAAAATTTTCAGTTCATTTGTTTGCTTTTTAAGATATTTATTTAAAGGCAATTAAGTTATATTATTATTTGTGTTTTTTATTACAGAATTGTCCTGATGCTAAAAAAGACGATCCTTGCAAGTAAGTTTGTAATTTTTATATTATTATATAAGACTAGAGGACCCGACAGACGTTGTCCTGTCTACACGTCTTTAATTTGCAAATTCGAATATTATTTAAAATTTGACACTGCGATGGTAGCGCCGTCTGTCGGATCCAATGTAAAACATTCCAAAATCAACAACTACTAATAAATTAAAAATTAATTAAAAAAACATTGTCCAGCGGACAAAATTGTGAATCTAAACCATTCCCAGATCCCCTTGAACACACACAAAAAATTTCATCAAAATCGGTCCAGTGGTTTGAGAGAAGTTCAGCGACATACACACGCACAGAAGAATTATATATATAAAGGTTTTACTTATATTATTAACATCAAAATTACTTTTGCAGACATTCAAACGGCTCACACAACAATATAACTTGTCAAATCAGTTCATCTAAATTTAGACCGGTATGTACACGAAGTTTTTTTTTTATATCATAAGGTGGCAAACGAGCGAGCGGTCACCTGAAATCGCTGAAATAGCGAAGTGACCGTTGCCCATAGACATACGCAATTGCATATGCGTTGCCTACCTTTTATCGACGGAGGAGAGGATGCACAGAAAGAAAATATTTTCTCTTTCCATGCATCCTCTAATCCGGAAAGTCCACTTCCACTTCCCATCCTTTCCTTATACGAAAAAGGGTGGGAAGGGATAGAGGACCAAATTAGGCCTCCGGGATGCACACTCATCAGGCTGTACTTGGAATAGCTTCCACTTGACGCGTGTCTTCTGTATGGTCGTGGTATATCACTGGGCGAGCCGGGACAATTCTTGCGAAGATGTTAAAGCGGGCTCTACCACTGTTTTTTTTATTTCGAACATTCTATTTAATTACTATAAGTTTTAAGGTCATAGAATAAGTATTAATACCTAGAAATTACTGACAAATTCCAGTTCAAAAGGTAAAATAGTAATAAAATGTAGTTATTAATCACAAAAAATAGTTTATTAATTATTATATCTCTGTTCCTTTGCTTAATCTAATTTGAATCGTATATAGCGCAAGCGTCGTCAGTTATGCAATGTCCCTGAGTTTGTGGATATGAAGATACTAAAGGAATGTGGTGTGGAGACAGTAGTGCGTATTGAACACGCGCCCGAGACTCCCGCACTCAAACGAGGCTGGACTGAAGGGGGAAAGGTAAGCTCGCAGTTGGCACCTCTGCTAGAAGATTACCTTTGTTGACCACATGCCAAATAAAATGCTATACTCGAATTTATTACAAATGACAACAAACTCATCTAAACAATTATATCCTTTTAAGGCTATGATCACAGACTAATTAAAAACAGGTCATTCATAGTGGTCAGAGCGTCGGTGGCTCAGTGGTCAAGCACTTGACTTGCAATCTGCAGGTCCTGGGTTCGAATCCCGCCATGTACCAATGTGTTTTTCTATTTCCGATTTACATATGTACATTTATTCGACGTTCTTACGGTGAAGGAAAACATTGTGATGCAACCTACACATATATGAGAAGTAATTCAAAGATATGTGTGAAGTCAAGAAGTGAAGAGGCCATAGTCAACCAGGCTGGCCAAGTGCGGGTTGCACTTGGCCAGCCTGGTTGACTATGGCCTAATCATCCTTAACTTATGGTAGGCTTTGAGCCTCTCGGTGGGGACGTATAGTGGGCTGATGATGATGATGTTCATGTCATCAATTTAAACACTAACCGTGGGTTTCTAAGGCCCGTTTAAAACATACTTAAACTCTGTTTTGTTATATAACATATCTTTATCTCTGTCATTGCATTTAACAGTCAGAATTTCATGGTGAAATGTTCCAAAAGCCAGCCAGTGCCATATGTGAATATATTTTTATTGGACTTCGATTCTTTTGCATGGCTGCAATTTTTTTTCAATGTGTTATTATATTGTATTAACATTTATCCAACAGTGCAAAGAAGAAACACCTTCAACGACTTGCATAATGCGTAAAATGGACATCTTGAACAAATACAATTTTATAGATTATTTCAAGCTGAAGGAGCGCTTACGTAACTTCTGTCAAGGCGTGTGGTATCCGATGCGTAATGCGTACAGCGCGGCGTACAATGCGGCGCCGCTGTACGCGCAGCATTGCAGCTCGCCGAACAAACTGCTCAATGTACTTGATACAATGCTGGCTGTAAGTTCATTTTCATTGTACAAGAACCTTTTAGTGCAGTAAAAGCTCCTTATTCGCGGATGAAAAATTGGGACCCAATTCTTATATTAGCAGCTGTTTTGGTTCAGACTTTGACCACCTTGGAACGTATATAATCCTGTATGTATTACCATTACATATTCAGGCTTTCTGTTGCGGCATATTTATGGAATACCCCCGCGAATAAAGAGCTTTTAGTGTAATACCGAAATTATTTGGGTTTTTTTTCCAGACATGTCCCATATCGAAGAGAAGACGAGGAGAGAACTGCATGAGAATATTCTCCGAGCTGACAACTTCCTTACCTGGATATCATCAAGAAATTAGCAACGCAACACTAGAAGATTTACTGCGTCGATTCCAACATATTTTCTTACCTGGACAAATCCCTCATATAAGTCCAACTAATACCAGATTAGTAAAGTATCCCAGATATTTATTTAACTATGGGTTTTTGGGTTCCCAAGATGAGCCTGTAGTGAGAGTTATAGATGTTAAACCAACTCCTCCAGTGGAAAAGCCTTTGATTCTTCTGCCTGTGTACCAAAGGATGAAAGGAAGATCTTACAATAATGATGGGATATGGCGCGGATCTCCGGTACAATGAATATTATATAATAAATAAATTTAACCGTGGGTTTTTATTGCCTAAATACATCTCTAAAAAAATATTTACTCTATATCCTAATGTGTCAGTGGAAACCAGTCAAACTCTGGAATGCATCTTTTTTTATTAAGAAATTTAAATCAAATTAAATCACTCAATTGATTTTTTTAAATTTATTTTAGGAAAATAAAAACTATGGAAAACACTCTCTATAGCAATTTACTATTTTTAGTTGTAATATTTTGTGTTTTTCCGCTTTTAAATAATAACTAGGAAAGAAAAAAAAAAAACGAAAATAGAAGCAATATTTTAATGTATTCATAATTATGTATACAAAGTCACAGTAATTGTATTCTTACATATACAACTGTCATCCAATACATTGACAATTGTATACATACATAATGTACAAAGAATACATTATGTACAATCAAGTCACAGTGAATTGTTTGAATTTGTTGAACCAAAAACATCCTCAGTCTTTTGATATGTCGAATATTAAAATCTTGTCAACATTTTTCCATTAATTACCAATCGCTTAATAATATTACTAAATATCTAACAGTATTCACTCAATATGTATCAATTTCACATCTTAAATTTTATAATTCACAATAAATACTTTTATTTTTATCAAACGTTTTAAAATCAAATGATTTTTTTTAAATAAACTCTTTTGATTATTTTTGATACGTCCGAAAACTTCGCTTTTAAAACAAGGAATACATTTTTTTTAAATAAATTAAGAACAAAGCAAGAAAATGGGCACTCGAGTTTAACTCAAAAGTTTTTTTTTTCTAACCTAAAAAAATAACAATAAAAAATAATACGTATAGGTACCGAAAATGTATTCAAAAGGCACTAATTTTTAAAATGATAGTCATGCAACTATACAAAATATGAACTGTCGAATTTAAAGCATTGTATAAAAATGGCAAGTTGTGTATAAAAGTGTACAAAAATTGTATAAATGTATTCGAGACAACATTATAATACATTCTGATTAAATTAATACTACAGATTATATATTTACATAGCGCATCACATAGTATACAAAATTAAGAAATCACAAGCTAAATACAACACGACCAACATAACATGACACTTCGTACTTCGTTATTGACAGCTAGCAATAAAGTTTCACCATATTTGTTACTCTTCTCGTTTATTTTACGGTTCAACCATTTTATACATTGTTGTACAAAATATTTGTACAATGTACAACTATTTTGTACAATGTAGTATACAATACAATGTAGTGTACAATTAATTTGTACAATGTATACAATGCGTAAACAAAGTGTTATGTTATCTTGCACGTGTTTCATACCTTATAGTTACAAAACAATATTATGTATAAGTAGTTATGTAAACACAAAATGTGCCAAAACTTGTTTAAAATAAAACAGTTAAAAAATTAAGTTTATAAATAAATATATAAGTAAATATGCTTAGTAATTTACTAAAATTAACATTCATATTTGATTTCAAAAATTTTGTTTTTGTATAAAAATGTTCAAAATTCACGAATTTATATTTGACTATTTAATAGCTACATAGAACCATATTCTTTTTAGAATTTATTGAAGATTTATCTTAAAAAATATAGGATAAAGCCCTGTCAGATTTTTCAATATATTTTGTACTTAGTAAACCCATAGTGGGTTTACTTTGCCGTGACTTGTATTATAGCCATCTCTTTCATTCCCTTTGACATAACAGAGACAAAAATATGTAACAATGCAACTGTCACGGCTGTCAAATTCTACGATATTGTCAAATTAAGGCATGTTAAGACTGATGCTGTCATAATTTCTCATAGAACGAGTGTCACCGTTCAAACTATGTGATCCAGCGTTGATTCTTGTTAATATTTCTTGTTGTAAAGCTTTCAAAGTTCGTACAGCGGACATGTCGGTAGGTGGCGCCAGGAGCAGCGCTCTTCTGGCGTGGGGGAGAGCTTCTGAGGGCTTGTTTAGTGCTAGAATAGCTCGAGCCATTGCGTACGCGCATTCGAATGCGTTCGGTCGAAGGATCGACGCACGCGCCGCTAAATCCAATGCTTCTGATGGTTCCTGGAAATAAATTTTCGATTATTTTTAATACACATAAGGATAAATGAATTAAGCAAATTTCTATACAAAAACAATATTAAACGGTATTAATATAAGTATATTATCTTACTCAGTAATCTTATGTTTTCTACGCGTAAAAAGACTAACCGTGAATTTCTGAGACTAGAAATTCCGTTAAAAAGTTGTCGTTGACCAAACAGAGATAACAATATGTTTTAAAAGGACATTTTGGTCTTAGAAACCTACGGTAAGAAAGTTGGATTGGTTTTACTGTAAAGTATTAATGGTAGTTTTGTGCTTACGTTTAACTTCCGTTTACACCGAGATAAGTTGAGAAGCAGATTGGTTTTGAGTTGTACGAATGCGGCGACGTGTTCCTGTGGGGGGGCTGCCGGGCTGGGCGCTTCCTCCCCCACCATCGGGTTGATCTTCTTGAGCGCGTACTGGTAGCGATGAGCGGCTTCTGAAGGTCGGTTCTTGCGGTACAACATGTTTCCATCCTCCAGCAGCTTGTTTAACAGTAGAAGCCTGCAAACATCATATAAAAACCGATGTTTGAATGTTAATAAAGCTATCAAAAGTTGCAAAGTTGAACTTCGAAATTCTACTATAAACATTTTATATAATGTACTAACATAAATTCAGGTTTGCCGGACGCCATGACCCAAGTGGTGGGGCCGAGCTTCGCGCCCTTCCGTAAGAAACAGCTCACCACCTGCAAAAATAAATATCACTTTACTTGTGAATGCAAAACTAATACGAGAAGAATAGAGAGAGAAAGAGAGAGAGAAAAACATCCAAGAGAAACAGAGATGGAGAATGGAAGGTTTCTATTGCTTACGGGTAGATTGCGCTGTCCAATGGCGCGGTCCAGCGGGCGCAGGCCGTTGCGGTCGACCCGCTCGAGCGAGGCGCCGCGGGCGAGCAGCAGCTCAGCAAGCTCGGCCGGCGCGCCGCACGACAACGCTAGTGGCGTGCGACCACTGCTGTCTGCCAGCTCTGCATAATGATAACAACATTAAAAATAAGCATACATCACTAAAAACACTTTTAGAATTAAATTAACAAAATAGATTGTTGGATGTAAATGAAAATTGGTCCTTCGAGGCGGATGGAATAGCATGCTATGTGCTCTTTGGATTAACTTACAAATAATAAAATAATAGCAAACAAAGTTTACCTATAGAAGCGCCCTTATCCAGTAAGAGCATGACAGTCGGGATGCGAGCGCGGAGACAAGCCCAGCCGAGGGCTGATATGCCGTCCGCGTCCACGGCATCTGGGTCGGCTCCTGATAAAATAAATCATTGTAACATTAAAAAGAAAAAGGGGTTGAATACCTGTCGAGTTTTCAGTACACAGTGAAAATTTAAAAATAAAAAGTATGAAGATGTTTCTGAGGCTTACCATGTGCCAGTAGCGTGTCCACGATGTCATCGTGACCCTCGGCGGCGGCCAGTATGAGAGGGTTCTTGCCGCCGGAGCCCATGACGTCAGCGCCGCAGTCGAGCAGACGCAGCAGCAGCGCGGCGCGTGCATGTCGCGCTGCCAGCGACAGCGGGGAGAGCTGGCGCGCGTTCAGCGAGTATGGCGTGGCGCCGCGCACCAGCAGCGCGTCCGCCACGCCCGCCTTGCCCGCGCCGCACGCCGCCGTCAGCGCCGTCTCACCCGTCACCGGGCAGATGCCGTCCGGCTGAGGGGAAAACAACCTTATTGTTGTGCCCCAAAGTTCATTTTCCTATATACAGCTATATCGATTGAATTACTTACGATAAGTTCAGCGGTGTCGAGGAGATACTCGACGATGTCCAGATGTCCGTTCTGTGCGGCGGCGACGAGGGCGTGCCGGGCGCCGGGCACGAGGTGCTCGATGCGGGCGCTGGCGGGGGGTGCTGGTGGTGCTGGATGTGCGGGGGAGGGTGTGTCGCGCTCCGCCTGGCAGCCCAGCAGGTAGATGACGGTGTCGCGGTGACCGTTCTTAGCCGCGTGCACTAGCGGCGTCTGCTCAGCTGTGTCCGTGTGACTCAGGGATGCACCTGAGAATATAGTCGTATTTTAATCATGGAACTCGGCATCTTCTCAACGAATCCTCATTAAATCTTCTTTTTGTCCAAAAACGCTTAAGCTAAATAATGTTACTTACCGGCAGCTATAAGTCTTTTCGCGACATCAGTATGTCCACGCTGACAGGCGAGAGCCAGCGCCGAGCATCCCTGCGAGTTGGTCATCTCGAGGTCGGCGCCGAATTCTATCAGCAGGCCGACCATCGCCAGAATACCCTGGTACGAGTACATGCACAGCAGCGGTGCGTTCCCCAGACACTCCGTGACCTGGTTCGGTGATCCGCCGGCCAGGAGCATCAGTCTCGAAACCTTCACATTCGGAGTGTAGATATTCCTCAAGTTCGCAATCGCTTCACCAACGTTCGCCGAACTGGTCGCTACCAACATAGCTTGTAAATCTCTCGGACAGAGACCCAACTGTGCCGGACCGAGATTCCGGTACATATGAGCTTTGAGGATATGGTGGCCCAACTCCATCGTCTTTTCTGGGTCTAGCGGAGCTTGCACCCTGGACAGTCTGTACGCGATGCTGCAATGACCCGCTCTCAAGTCGCAGAGGAACTTGGCGCTCTCGTTATCTTCGCGACGTATCAACCATTCCCTGAACGACGGGTGGAAGAACATGTAAGTGTTGTCGATTCTCTTGACGAGGAAATCTGTTAAGGTGTCGAATCTATGGCAGAATTCGTCCCACGGAAGAAAGGTATCGACTAGCAAGGAGTTCACGGAATAGTATATTTCGACTAAAGTCAAAGGATACAGCGCCGCTAAGCAGACGCTCAGGATATGAGTGACTTTTTCAAAAGATTGAACTGTGGGGAAGCGAAGATTAAATTGAAGAAGGAATATCTGAGCGAGTGATATCGGAACCACCTTGTAGTTGGTGGATTTGACGACGATGTGACTCCTTTCGAGAAGATCGAGGATAAGTTT